TTCAAAACCCAACTCTCATGCCATTAGAAAGAGGATCATGAAAAACCTATAAAAAAATGGTTCATGAAATTTTAGTTCACTCATAAAGCTAAAGTCCGCCTGCTCTAGCAAAAAATGCCCACTGTGTACTCCCTAAAATCTTAAAGTTCATCAAACATTTATAGAGATAGAGTAAGTTTTTTTGACTTTTACTTAATTTGAATTTGCATATCCATTAGTATGACATAAAAAAATTTTAAATGATGTTTAATAATTTTAATTAATTTGCATTTTATGTTTAACGAAGGAATTTCTGTATGTAGATTTCGAAGTAGTCAGTCACTTGCGTTGAATTTGTTCATCAAATCAAAGTTTTTTATTCAAATAAACACTTTTAAATATTGAGGAATAAAAATAAAAAGCTCCGTGAGATACAACTGTCTGTCATATGTGTCTATAACTGATCATAATGGAAGTAGTAGTAGGAATAACCCATCCAATTAGAAATGAAACATATTATGACGAATTTCAACTCTTTCTCAGATTCAGTTATAAAGTATAGAAAACTATTTGAACTTGAAAATCATGGATAGCCAGCCCTTAAAAACGAGTCTAGTTTAAATTAGAGGAATGCTGTCTTGTTGACATTTATTTACAAACTAATATTCTTGCTCTTGTATGAAAATCTTTTAAATTCAAAACAACACAATGACTGATTTTCTCTACGACACCTGTTAAATCTCAATGAATATAGAATGCGATTCAATATTGCCAACTAAATAGACTAGGATAGTGAAAATAATATTCTGCCTAAACCAACAAAGTCTCGTCAATCAGTGTATCTACACTTTTACAAGTGCTGTTTTTTATTTTTCTTAAAAACATTACGATCACAATACATGAAAAAATAGAGCAGATCAGTATTTTTCTATGAGAGAAAAAGATAATCAAAAAAATACTAATGTCCATAACGTGTCAGACAAATAACGGTGACTAGAACAACATGTAGAGTAATAATAAAAAATGAGTACTATACCTGAGATTCTAAAAGGTAAATTATCAAAACAATAAGCACCAAAAATAAATATTTATACAGAAAAACAATAATAGATTATTTATATGTGAATAATAATATATAGCACTCATTATCAAAAACATTGATTGTTCAATGTTTGTAATGTATTTACTGGTGTATTAATAGCTTCAGCCATCATTAATCTTAATCGCCCACGTTCATAATTTTCAACACAATCTTGCAATCCAGTTTTATAAGACGATGGAAAATGATCGATCATCATTCGTGGATGAACGATAATATTGAAAAATTCATCGTAATTTGCTAAACGTGCATTGTAAGATATTTTTTGAGTGTAAAATGTAATACTATCAGTTGAATAAAGATGAACAATTGTACCAGGTAATACTAAACGTTCTGATTGAGAAAATATCACAGATGGTGATTGGATCATATGTGTTGTTGAAGTAGTTTCATCTTCAGATGGCATCGACACTATTTCATGTTGTGTGACCGCCGAATGTATTGTTTGTTGATCATCATAAAATGTTCGTTGAGATTTAATGGCCGTTTTAAATAATGTTTTTGTTAATACAGTTAGTTTCGATTTATGGCAAGTGTTTAATGCAGTAACAATACGATTTCTCAAATACTCCAAAGAACTGAGTGAAGCACGAGTAATTAGATCGACATCAACAATAAATGAAAATATAAAATCTTCTGTTTTAAGTGCCAGATTTCGAGACATAACACTACCAGGCATCCCAATACCATAGCATTTGACAGACGGGTATTTACTCTTGTATAATATGCTCAAAATGGCTGCTACACCTAAAAATAAGAATGAAATAATGCACATAAACTTCTCTTATTTCAGAAAAAATGTTTACCTGCTCCTAACGAATATCCACAGCACACAAGAGTATAATCTGGATATTTCAGAAAATATTCGTCTAATTTGTTTCCGATATCTTCAATGATAAAAGATGCTGCCAAATGCATACCTAGAGTCGATACGTCTGTTAGATGATACGAGTGAACATTAATAAGTGGATTTATCTTACCACTATGACAATAACCAGTACCAAGTGTTTCAGTCTTTACTGCTATTTCAACAGCGTTTATATCTGTTAAAATGTCAGCAGGACTCAGTGTGCCTCTGATCGAAATAATAATGGCTTTTTTCTCTTTATCTGCCGCGACAAAAAATGGCGCTCGATGAAACGCACCCATAAAATTAGCATACAATAAGACGGGTGATTGTGCTGTCAATAAATATTCTAAGGTTGCATATTGATGACCTACAAGTATAAAAAACTTGATGAAATATTTATAAAATATCGCGTTTGTTTTGTCCCTACCACATGGATCGTTTATACTGTTTTGCCTATCGCAAGCACTACATGAGGGACAATACCAGCAACAACAACCGATTGATCTGAAAAAGCAAAAGTGTCTATTATTCTCTCAATTTTGGCATCATTCATTTATCTACCTGTAATTCATTGCACACAGTGTTCTACAACAAAAAGTGGCTCGAAACTGGTACGCAATGCTAGCCCAGCCAAATGCGGACAATGAATAATCATAATAATATAAACCTTCCTTCAATAACTCAATTGGAGGTATTTTGGTAATATTCAATGAACGTCGTTCATAAACATCTTCTTGTTGTAATAAAATTAGTCCTGCAGCAAGATCCGATGGAACATAGTCAAATTGTTCGTCCTCAAATAAACTATTCAATGTTGTTATTATATTTCGAATACTACCTATAAAAAAATTGTTACAATAAAAATAGACGGTATATATTTGAATTTTAAAATACTTACTATTTTCATTACCATATGGTCGACCACAACAAAAAATAAATTTTAAACGTAATTCCCACTTTTTCTCCGGACTTAAAAATCCTGATAAATCAACAAATAAAAGAAACATAATCGATATACCAGTGAATACCATCCAACTGAGTGCAATCGAAACAATTATTGTGGTTTTTAGAAAAATACCACATGAATAAAACGCTTTTACAATAATAATTAAACCAACAATATTTACACTAATATCAGCGATGATTAATAATAAACGTATATAGATTAAATAGGGAATAAATCGACGTGGATGAACATTAGTCACTGGCGTGCCTTTTAAACTGAAATAAACAATAAACGTTTGTGTAAGAATAATTGAGATATAACAAGATAATAATGGATAGAAGTAACCGCGGTAAAATATGGCAGAATTGCAGCCCCATGATTCTTTGACATCTTTGACACGGAAAACGATAAATGCAATTAATGATGGAAAACGAATGAAAATATCAATTAATGATGGAATTGTTAAGTCATCGGAAGCAAAACCAAATCGTCGACCAAACAAACGAATACCAGGCATAATTCAGTCATAAATCAAATAATTATATTCTGAAAAACAAACAAAAAAGATGGTTAGCGTAGCCCCTTTGGATCTAAAATGCGCAACTCCTCTAGCTAGTAAAAAATATAGCGTAAAAAACTATCCATATATTCTGTGACTTCAAACAGAGTCAATTTCCACTAAAATTTGAGCAAGCAACAGTATAGTAGCAAGGGGTTATAATGGTAGGATCCCACCAAATACAATCGTGCAATAAACTAATAACAGTAACAAATGATGAAATAATGAATTTAAGACACTCTTCGCGTCCACTTATAGAGCAATCTCAATATATCCCTTTCAGATACTTTCCATGCACATATAAGTTACTAGACATGTCCATCGTCAGAATAATCTTCCTGCGGCCACAAGAATCATCCACGCTAAAACTAACTACTAGAGTAATTTAAGATGTTCTCCATAACTGGTTGTAAGACAGAATCCATACCAGTGTAAGACATTCTCCATATATTCTAACATAGTATTTTTAGGTAGTATCCATAGCTAATTTAAGACAGTCTCCACCCATGTCGCCAAAACCAAAAACGTTTTTTGCGTTAATCAAGTGAATAACAAAATGCAAAAACATAAGTGGCGTAACGCAAAAAATTGTAATTCTTCTGGACAAAATATTTACAGAATTCTGTATTAGTCGAACTAATACAGAATTTTGTAAATATTTGGTTTTAATCAATAATTTTATAAATATTTTGTTCTAGATGAATATACAAAGAATGTCGCATTTGTAACCATTTTTTGCTTTACCCCACTTGTGTTTTTGCAGGTTTTTTTGCGTGACTACGCAAACAAACTTTTGCAATTTCTACATGGGCAGGGAGGAAAAGATGGATGGGAGAGGATACATTTTTGGTGAAACCGCTAAGAACTCAACTATTGTATACAAAAGTACACTAAAGTAACAGCAAACTTGAAGATATGACATGGCCATAACCAGAGTATGCTATCTAAAGTACATTCAAAGCTTGTTTTTAAAATAATTACATTTACAATTATTTGTTTAACTTATAGACCGATTAGTTCTTGAATATTTTGCTTTAAAAAACTAATCAATTTTATATAGTCATTCGTTTGAAATATTGATACTACGATACGGTATTTTTCTTCTTATTTTTTCAGGTTGTTTTAAGAGTAACATTCGTTCTGTCATTAAAAATAAGTACCGAACAACACGAGCTGCCAGGATTGGATGTGCGTGCTTACGAAAAGTATCGTCTTCAATAGTCAAAAAACAGTAGTAACATATAGTAAATTTTTATAAAATAGTAACATTTTTTTTGACACCCCTAAAACATTCTGATTCTTAGGGAACCATAGAAGTTTAGATTCATGTCTCACTCTATTATTGCTCTGATGCTATTAATTTCACTTGGAAGAATACTTTGTTTTCTACTGCTCTAACTACTGAACCAAAAAATAAAAACTATATTCTGAAAAATACAACAATGGTTAACACTATTTTGTTACCCTTTCGTGAACTTTATATACCGTTCGTTTTCTAAAAATATTTTGTTACTTGTTCAACATGTAACTGCGTTGACAATCAGCGATCACTATGAATCAACAGTAGATTACTAAATAATCCCCGAGATTATCTGAGAAACAATTTTTATTTTTTTACATTATTTCAGTCACCAAAGTATGTTCTGCAAAAACAATAGTTCAAATCATTAGTACTAAGCAACACTACTAAATATTTTGCGCAACAGAACGTTTTTGCTATTGTTTTACAGAAGTAACTCTCGTTATTATGTGTTATTGAACCAAGGAAATCAGCAATTCAAAATATAGTGAGACTGACATGAGTGTTTGTTTTCAGATTTTTAAACCGTCAAAAGGTCTTGGAACAGCGCTTCTAATGACCAAGTGTACCTACACTTTGCTGTATACTTTGCAGAAAAACAACAACAAAGTGTACACTGTACATTTTATTTTTCCCTCGGAATTTAGAAGAAATGAACTTGTACAAAATTACAAGTACACATAACAAACAATTTTCATTAGAAACGCTGCTTATTTAATGCCGCTATAACCTGAAGCATATCTAGATTTTTTTCTTGAGTAAACATAATGTGAGAGTCATCCCATATGTGCTTTAAATAGTATCTGGTTTTGTTACATGGCTATGAGGCGACATAAAGAGACTGAAAATGCTAAAAATAAAATTGAAATGTTTTGTTTTTCACACAACTAAAAGTAATAATCTATTTGCCAATCAGTTGAACTCTTAATTACTATAACGTGATCGTACTAAAAGGACTTTTTCCGAGATTGCATGTTTCATACTACGGAAGGACAAATGCGAGGGCGTTCGCTCACATTTGTCAAGTTACTCACAAGAAGAAAAATGTGAAACAAAACAAACAAAATAAAATTTAAAACTGGACATTGTTTCCTTTTAGCTCTAAACAATAGTTTCAAGGAGCCAGGATCAACGAAATCCTTTTAGCTCCAAATAGTCGCTTCAAGGAGTCAGGATCAACGAAACTGAAATACTTATATTAATGCGCATGCCTACAGATATATGAATGAACATAGTCGATTGGCTTTGTCGAACAACAACAGATCAAGTACGGAAAAGAGATGTCGCTCTAGAATAGAAATTAGAAACTGTGCACAAGAACTGTTAACAATGTAAGCAGGCGTCCTAGTGAAAACAGCAGAACATATGGGACTTTAGAAAAAAGACGATGATTTGCTACGCTGCTATGTGGCACCGCTGATTGACGGTATTAATATTATGGTCGATTACAATCAGAATTATAGTAATTACTAATCACTAATGATTAAATTTGATTCCAGAACAGCATAAAAATTCCTATCTAACCATGTATGTTATCAATATGATTTCAAGGTTAAATATGATTATTTTAGGAAAAAACAAGACGCAAACTATTTTACAAATAAAAATAAGATTACACTATATATTCTACAAAATTTAAATTTATTACACACACATAACAGAGCAGAAACAACGTATTGTAAAATATTAAATTCAATAAAAACATGATGAGATTCGCACTGATGTTCTGAATTTCACATTATTATCAATTAACCTTTTCCAAATGGTCGAGATCATCCGAATTTATATGTGAATAGAGTTCTTGTCTTAGTTTTGTACTTGACACACCATGTGTGTAAGGTAAAAATCTCACCGGCATCAGTTCTTCTACAACATGTCTTGATGGAAAATCGGCCATATCATCACCACGTACGTATAACGCCGATTCATCCTCTTTTAAATGAACAATACACGTGACAAATGCACTGGGATCTGTCGCCGATACACAATAAACTTGGTCAGCATGTTGTTTAACATTTAACATTCGTCTTTCAGTACCATCAACAGGCACACGTTGTTTCAATTTATAAATACTGCGACTATCATGAACACCAACAATGACTTCACGACCAAATTGTCTCATACGTAACAATAATAATCGATGACCTTCATGAAATAAATCGAAACACCCAATTGTATATACTTTATCAGCTCGTCCATCAATCCAAATTGCTGGCAACGATGCACTGCGGGTCATCGTACGCTCCCTGATGTCTTCATCACTTATTTCTTCATCTTCTTCTTTTATTTGCTGAATAGTTGGCGATTTAGATCGAGGTTTTTCTGGTGATTTTCCATTCATAAAGGGATTGTTTGTATTGTTATTGTTGTTGTTACTGTTCACGTTAATATTTGTAATGCTGCCACTGGGACTAGTGCTTGGAGGTGTTGTTTGACGCTTTGGCTAAACAGGGAGAAATAAAAAAAACTTTTGTTCATTTGCTCTGATAGGGATTTTACCTCTCTCATCGCTGAACCTAATGTCATTGCTCTTCCACGAGCTACTGTTTCTGTACTCCATTTTGTTCCATTAATAATACCAATTGAACGTTGAAACGGTGCTGGCTCTGATTTAGTAACTGTAATTTCTATTTTCTTTCTTGCTCGAAGTTTCTGAGCTAAACTTGCATAAGCTAATCGAACTGTTAACGAAAAGCAAATGATACCCATAATACCGGCTAGAAAAAATATTATTAATGTTAATTGGAAATCATTCAAGAAAAGCTATCACATACACCAATGACTGAATGGTAGAGAATGTCCTGTTGATAAACACAAGAAAGCTAATCCCATCGATTCTAATTTCTCCTTCAATTTTCCTTCCATTGCTGATGCTGTTGCATGTATTCCTGATATCGGTTTATGATTACTGAAAATAGAAGAACAAGAGATGTATTTCCATATATAATTTATTTCAACTAGGGTACTTTATCGATGCATGAAAATAATCTTGTACACGAACAATACCAATTGCTGTTTCTAGTCCAATTATTGTGTAACATAAACAAATGAATGCTATTGTTTGTAAATAAGATGTTTGTGAAAAATCTGTTTCTTGCAATATTGACCATAAACAGAATATATTGACAATTTTATCACAAAATGCGTCCATGAAACCACCCAATAATGGGTCATCAATTTCACCATAGATTCGTTTTTGTGTTTTAGCGACAATGCCATCAACATGATCGAGAAAATCATGTATAATTACTAATAGACATGCCCATATATTATGATCATATTTGAGAAGCCATGCAATGGGTATAATCAGGAATGTTCGAGAATAAGTAACAATATTAGCATTAAATATTGTTATAGTGATTTTACCAATACGAATAAATCGAGGTATTTTAGCTATGTGAGGTGATAGATGAACTTGTAATGGTGTGTACATATACAAATCATACCATCCCATCTATAACAGAGGATAATTCCGTTATAATTGCTTGAATATGGAATAAAAACATCAATATTACTCACCAAAAAAAACATAAAGGATTCCAAAACATGACTTGCAGTTGATAACAAATTGATTAGAATGTGAACAAACCCAAACACAAAATTTCCGTCTACAAATGAACAAAAAACAAATTTAAGAAACATTAATTATATGTTAAGAAACGAATACTTACATTGACGGAAGTTAATAAAATCGGGAGACATAGCAGTGTAGAAATATTCAAATATGTTTTTCAAAGACTGTCAGAAACTTATGGAGATGAATTTTTTTCTTGTTCTTATCAGTATTCGGCTAAATATATTTATGAAGTAAACACCTACCTTTTGTTTAATGGAAAGTAGGTCAGTTGCAAAAGAGATAGGTCAAGTGCAAGATAGCTAATGTTGAAAGACTGTACATCCGTAATTCTAACGCTGATATTTTTGATAAATGTTAGAAAAGGTGACGAACACCTTTAAAACACGTCAATGAACATGAAAAATTATATTAGGTTGATATTAACGCCGATTTTTATATCGTTACTTACCAATTCTCCTCCAAAAACTAGGTTCCATGTTTATGATATCAAGCTCTTAGTACTCTTACTAAAAACTAACCAATTTCTTCTTATAAATTCGATTGAAACACGTGATTATGGAGTGTTAGTCGTCAACAAATGATTTTTTTAGATACATTAAAATGATTTATTTGATTATCGTGTATAATCAATCCATTATTTTTTTTCGAATCTGTGAAAAACCACACATGTTTTAATTTAAATGCCGTTTTTTGCTGCAGCAAATATTCATAGAAATGTTTTCGCCAACAAATGATACTCAACTTCGAACACTCTCATTACATTGATATTTTTGTTAAACACGCCCACTTATACTTTCAAATAGAATAAAAAACACACTAAACACTGAAATGATATTCACTAGTCAATATTTAATAACTTTCACTAATATCACTACTAGGTGTGATAAAAGTTTTGCGATATCTTATGTTTTTTGAATATTTCAGCCTAAATAGCCCAGATACAACAGAGATTATTGAATCTGTTTTCAAAGATGCACAATTTAATTCTTTACAAAACTGATATTGACCTATATTTTACAGTAATAAAATTCTAAATTTCTAGAGGTCAAACAGTTCGATTGAATCAAATTCAACTACTTCCCACTGAATTTTGAAATTGTTCGTGTTTTGTTCATGAAACACATACCGGGTCGAGACGATCATATATATCTTCCAATAAATATTGGACTCATAAAATACGACTCGTCAATAGATAGTCCTTTAAGGACATTTTACAAATGTCTTTTGTTTTCATATACTTAGATATTTTCAATGCTACTTTCTGCTCGTTGAATGACCTTTTACTTTTTAAAAGTCATATTCCAAAAAAATAGTCCGATTTTTCCCTCTCAGCTGCACTCTTCAGAAAAAGGATTATGAAAAAGCCATTTATAGCTCAAAAAAGATCATTACTATAAAGTTTTATACGAAAACGATCTACCTTACTTCCTATAACAAAAACAGTGAATGAACATTTTTATAGGGTTAAGAAATCGTTCGTTGCCACAAACAAGCAATTTTCATGAATACCTGATCTTCTCAACGTACGAAAAAATTTGCAAAACATTCTGAGAATCAACAGGCAATAGTTGAACTTGATTCAATCGAACTGTTTGACCTCTAGAAATTTAGAATTTTATTACTGTAAAATATAGGTCAATATCAGTTTTGTAAAGAATTAAATTGTGCATCTTTGAAAACAGATTTAATAATCTCTTCGGTTTTATCCATCATTGTTAAGTTCTGTGCCATAACAATGAAATTTTTTCTTATGTTGGCTCAATAGATAAAATACAATCGATAAAACACGAAGCGATTTTTGTCTTGAGTTAATTGCTTCTGAAAAAATAATTTTATTATATTTTCTCATATCAAAAACGTTGATAACAAAAAAAATGCATACAATATTTGCTTTACGAATCTGATCATTGTTATTATTGTTAAAACTAAATACGTAAATGTAAATCTAAGTCGAAATGGGTTTATTTTTAATATTTTCTTTCAATCATACAAAACTATTATCACTGAAATGATCAGTCGATTGGGATGCAGTTAAATCTGAAAATTCTATTATATTTTTTTTATCTTCAACTGCCTTCATTGTTTCACTGTTCACTGTTAATAGTCCAAATTGAAGCAGTCAAAAGTTGCATAACATTATCCATTGTTGCTAAAATATGCACCATCTAACACCAATTTTTATCTATTTTCGCTCATATGACCATCTAATACTTTGTTATTCATTTCGTCAATCAATGTCCCTGCGATACTGCATCTATCCCAGAATTCTAATTTCATTATCTTAACAACAGCTCGGACGAGTTATATTGGTATATCAGCACTTAAGTAATATTTTTTTATACTTGTCGGCATGCGTGCTTAATGTCAAAATGTCAAATAGATAAAAGCAGTCACACTTTGAAAAAAGAAGGGCATTTTTTACTTTAAGCGCGTTAAAGACGACCTCATTTTTTGTGAGTAAGACAGAATTTCGATGTAAAAGACGCGTCACCATTCCTTACAAAGGCGCCTGGATTCCAGTTTTATGCACCCATAGTGTCTGCGTGAGATATTATGCATACTTAGTCAAGGCATTTTGAATGCATTCTTCCATGTAAATTAAGTACATTTTTGATGCATAAAGTAGGGCATCCCGCTGTCCTTGGATCAAACATTTCATATATTTTTTGTCATCAGAAGGGAAAAGATCTCACCATACCAACATCAAAGTGGTTATTGACTAACAAGGTACTTTCATTTTATAATATTTTTGGAGTGAGAGAAATCTGATGATTTCTGACCAAATTTTTTCATTAATTCATCTATTTGATTTGAACGAACCTAACATAATTACATAAACAAGCAACAAATTAGAAATCGTTTCTTCAAGAGTATGATAGTCACTATGTGACTACATGAATTATCCGTGGCTGATGGACGACTAGATCTCTTGATCGCAGCTAGTGAGCTTTTGATGTATTAGTGATGTCTATCAAATGCACCTCAGATATTTTTTTCAAAATAAGCAGCGACTTAGACGTGTTTTTTTGATTACATTAAGAGACATTGCACATAAGCCACGACCTATTACAGCGGAGTAGCCTTCAGTCGATGTTCTCAAAACTTTCCCAAAGTAGCAGGCTCTTGTAGACCAAACATTTTAATGAATTTTGGTAAAAGGAGCAAATCAAAAAGTTGTATCGTTGCTGAGATATTGATATTTTACGAGAAGCCCCGAAAAACGTAGATTCCGCCATCTTGAAAATTTGCCAACTTTAAAACCTTGTAATTCAGTAACAACAGATTACTTAACCTTACAGATTTTTCGTAAATAGTAGGCAGTGTGAGCTACAAAACCACGTAACCGCGAGCTCAAAGCATGCTTTCGTGATTTTATAATAGGTGGCGCACTAAGAGCCCAAGTCCAGAAAAACCTGAATTTTCTTGTAGCACCCACAAAGTCGACCGTAAGACTTTCAACCATATTTCCAAATAGATTATATGCCAAAGTATATTTAGTAAAAGTTTGACGATCTCCGGTGCTTTCGTTTTCAATACAAACGCCTTGAAAGTTGCAATTTTGAAAAATGACCATTTTGGGCGATTTTGAGAAATGATTTTCTCCAGGAAACGGGACAATTCTGAAGCCCCCCAGTATACTGTTGAAGTACACCTGGCGTACTACCACAGTCCATCCTGCGATTTGTGGGTTTCGCTAAAATGGTTTCGGGGACTCGGTCAGGTGCGCCGAGATTTTTCGGCCGGTTTTGCTCATTTTTTAAAATTTAAATAAAATTTTCCTTTTCAGTTTGAAACCTCAGATTTGTAATCAATCGATAGAGCGCATCGGGATGTATATTTAAAAAGACTGTGATCGTTCTCGAACAAAGTTTGGCGGCGAAATTCGGATTTGACCTTGAGAATGGATTTTGGGGGCCAAAAGTGTGCGCTTTCGAGATCTTGTGTACCGTGTCTCTGCAGTGACGCATTTTGGAGCGAAAATGTGAATGTAAAATGTGAATGTAGAAGTTGTTTATCATGTTTTTTTCTATGATATACTACTTTGCTGTCGCTAAATTTCTAAAGGTCAACCTATAAAATTGAAATACTGAGACGCTGTACTGCGGAGAAAAGATGCCCAAATTGTACGCTCCTTTCTCTTTGCTTCTGAGCCAAAGGATAGTATTCAGAAAATCTTCAGCTCATAGAACATAGACACTTTCACATACAGAATCGAACGGATGTGTCAAAAATCGAAAAACATCAAGATTTTTAGGCCTAAAATTGTGGAAACAAAAATTGTTCAGAATCAAATTATACAACGGATGAGCGGAGGAAATTTTGAAATTTTGAAAACACGATTTTTTTTAAATCCAAAATTCGACTATTAAAAAGTGTTTTGGGATTTAAAAATTGACTTTTCAAAATTTTCAAAATTCCGCTACTCATTCGATGTATAATTTGATTCTGAACAACATTTATAACGAAACTTTTGTTCCAAAATGCTTCTCTGAAGCGAAATCGTGCCCAAGGTTTTTCAGAAATACTTTTTGCTCCGAAAGTGAATCGGCCACGTCAAACTAAAACATCTCAGTCAAAGTTCATTAAAAAACAATGAAAATTTTTTCCTGGATACATCGAGATGTACCCGAGCGATTGGCGCAAGAATTAGCGTTCCATCTAAAAAAACAAAAATTCTATAGAAATTTTAAAAAAATGGGCAGAAAATCACTAGGTAACTTCAAATTTTTTTGCTGAAAAAACCTGAACTCCGGGAAATGAAAAAAATTTAGGCTTTGTAATTACCAAAATGTGCTCTACAAACTGAGTGAAAAATCTGGATGGGGGTCTCCCTTAAAAAATAAATCCCACCGTGGGGTTTGCAAACGATAGATATGTTTAATACTTATATATACAAATTATAATCACACATAAGAACAAGGACATTACTGTTATTGAATACGATCATCATTCGTATCTGACAAACAAAAACACAACAAAACATATAAAACAGACCTTTACAGAAAATATCTCAAAGATAAACTGTTCAGTGAGAAATACGGTTTCCTGTTACGTATAAACTCTTATGACGTCATCAATTCGTTTACGGCACAGCGGACATGAGTCTTTTCTGGCATGTAATAATCTTGCACATTCATAACAGGCAACAAAATGATTACATGAACGTATTACAGCATTTCGTTGACGATCCATACAGATGGCACAATCATTCTCGTTCGATGGAGCAAACTCAACTAAAACAACGAAACTAATTTTGTAACAAGAACTAAAATAAACCTGTTCTATTATTTTTTTAGGTTTTTCAACCGAAATTTTAAGAAAAGTTTTTCTTTTAAACGTATTTTCTCATCTTTTGCAACTTTGAAACTACTTACAATATTCATTTCGAGCATTCCTCGCTGTATTCAGTTCGGGTAATGATGAACGACCACGCAGTACGACAATAGCACTATTCTTTTTTAAGGATTCAATTCGTGCTGACAAAAAAAGAAAAAGATAATGGAGACGATTTTAACTAAAATAACGCCATACCTTGTCGTCGAGCGTCACGTTGTTCTTCATCTAAGATAAGCGGTTCTGAACTTGATCGAAAATAAAGTGCTAGAACAAAATTCTATCTGCAATTGACATAATGGTAACTAAACTGATTATTACTTTTTCCCATACGTTCGAGTAACTTTCTTACTGGGAAAAAACAAGACAAAAATTACTATTGATTAGCACAATAACTGTTTGTTTGACATACAAGATTCAATTGTTTGTGTACTTGTGTCCTTTGTCGGATTCAACTCAACTTCTGGAACATAGTAACACGGAAATAAAAACCGTGTACCAACAAATCTCTATAATGGAGATATATATATATATAATATATATATATGTAACAAAATAACTTCAAGATGACGACAATAAATTAAACCTCTTTATGTTGAATATTCTCGCATATTTTATTCAAATCTAATCTCATTGTATTTGAACATAATATAACATCAGGTGATACTACTTGAGCAACTTCTAAAAACAAACTAATTTGTTTAGAGATAATATAAAAGAGGGCGTCATAATGTTACTGTCGAATATCGCTTGCTTTATTTCAAGATTTTCAATAATACATTCAAACACAAATTCTACATCTTTGACAGCATCTTCTAAACGACTAAAACATAATATTTGGCCCTAAGCAAAAAAAATTAAATAAGTTAAAACGTCAACATTTGCATCACATATATTTACCACAAATTTTGGGACTTCGATTAAACCATCACGATATAGCTCATCTTCATCAGCATGTATTCGTTCACAAACAGAGTCTAATTGTTTTAAATCAGCGTCATACATTTTTACTATATGACCAAAATAAGAAAAATTTCCTAAAACATAAAGAAGCATAAACATAATCTAGTTATGTTTGTTGTTGCAAGGAACTTTATATTACCGGCAATTTTAATACCCATGACACCACATCCAATCACCGCTATACGAACCATGTCTTTGAACGAAGTTTATGATCTTCAAAAAAAGATATATATGAATATAGAAAGGTACGGGCCAATAAAACTGTACTCTCCCAAATTTTGTTTATTTTATTATTATCCATCCTTTTGATTCAAAATACTTCACATTCAACGACTTAGATCATTCCCAGCCTGGTCATTCCAAAAAGTGCAGGAATCCAAAATTTACGAAAAATTTGACGCGTTTAGCAAATTTGCGGTACAAACACGCAAGAAGCTGCGAGTGTAGGGAAAATAACACGCAGGAACCGTACGTTGCCATGGAAACAGAGGCTTTGTGCGCGTATTCCTGTCTGTTATTTTCCCTACACTCGCAGCTTCTTGCGTGTTTGTGCCACAAATTCACTAAACGCGTCAAATTTTTCGTAAATTTTGGAATCCTACAGTTTTCGGAATGACTATGACTGACTGGACCTTCGGTTCTTCTACAGATCGATCACACCCCCTACTGTGGTGTGTGTGGAGTGTGAGTGTGAGTGTGTGATCGATCTGTAGAAGTACCGGACCTTCACATGTACATCCCATCTCAATTTCATTTCTTTGCTTGGAATTCTGAGTAGGTTTGTTACATAACAAACATTAATAATCAACCAGATTATCAAAAAAATTAGCAAACTTTCAGAGACAACAATATTAATACAATAATTCCATGGGGCTATAATTATCTATGCATACTTGAGTTTACTCATTGAAAAATTCATTCTCTAATCAGAAACTTAAGGGTAGATGGCGCTTAAGAAATTCTGCGTGTATCCTACTTTAGCGCGAGATATCTTAAAAATCATGAGTTTTTTCTCCGAAACGGGATCCCTACAGGATTTTCACACAGGAAGCCCATAAAATCAATATCATACAGAAATTTAATGTGAATATCGTCGTAAAAATTCTGTATGATTTCTAATTCTGCGAATACATGTGAGTTTCAAGTCGATTGGAATATCGATATTCCGATCTTGTAAAGAAGTCAGAAAGTATTCTGATTCAGATCAGAATCAGAATACTTTCTGACTTCTTCACTGAAGGAAAAGTTTTCTTTTTGGATTAAAAGTGAGTATTCATCATTTGGATATGATGACATCTATCCAAAAACAAACACTCCGTAGGTAAGACTGCACTAACCCGTCGCTGCTTTGTGTCAAATTGCGTAAAGGAAGAAAATCTATTGTGAAGATTTGTTCACCTACCTTCGGATTGCCATACTTAGAAGTATTTTTCAGTTATTAGATTTGAGAAATATTTTGTAGTAACTCATCAATCATCGTTTCAGTTATTGCGAGTTAAACACACATTAATGTATTGTTTCTTATGGATTCAAAAAATCAATCGACACTTCGATAAAAACATATTATTCGAATAATTCAATGAATGACTAATAATAATATGGTAATCTAAAAGGAATTCCTTCATTTCTTCTGATCAAAACTTGCATTAAATGCGATGATTTTACAGTCGAAATAATTTTAATAAATGCTCAAATAAATTTTTATATTGTAATTTCTTTCTTCTATCCAAGTATGCATCTGTACAAAAGAACAAAAAAAGAGAGAAGAAAACAGAAAAAAAATAGCTGAACATATACGAAATATATAGAAATAAGAAACAGTTAAACCTAACAAACGAAAAAATAATTTGATACTGAGCGACTCATCGTGATGGAAGTTTGGTATAAACGAGGCATAAAACCTGCTGATTTTCTCTATACTCATCACCTTTGATCATTGTATGTGCTTTATTTTTTATTTTACTATCTTTGAAAAACATATCGTTCACAATTTTAAGAGGTCAAGATTTTTGATTGAATGCGTGTGTCTTTAACCTATTTCTGACGGGCAGACACATACACGCACACAGAAAAAAAAATCACATGAAAATAAAAATAGAACAACAACAACAACAACAAGAATCTGTTGACCGTCATGTCTATATTATTTCATAATACAACACGAGAAAAACAATATGACCAGGAAAAAAAAAGACAAAAAAAACATAATTAACAAGAGCAACAACAAATAATCACCAACAACAAGATCGTTGAACCATTGTTTGTCTTTCTTCTTTCACAATGTATGATGGTTTGTTAGAAAAATGTCCGAGAATAATTTGGACAAGTCAATAACAAAATATAACAAATGAAGAAATAAAATAGACGAGCGATCCCTGGTTTTTGTTGAATGCTTGAAACAGAAACATTTTATGACAATACAGACATATGTAACACACTAAAAAGAAAAGAAAGAAAAAAGCAAAATTAATAAGAGTACCATCGAATCAATTGCATAATTTTAGTTGTTGTACAGCATACAGACTACTAGTCATTTTAAAATACTAGATGAATGAGTCTATTTCAAATAACTTTTGTTGGAAAAGAGATGAACATTCACAGTTTTCACCATTTATTAACAAAGATTTTTCGAAAAAGACTGAAAAATCTAGTGAAAGCCTATTTTATTAAGAATATGCATTTCTAAAACTGAACAAAACTAAATGATATAGGTTTTAGCTTTCTCAACTTTTTTTTCAAACAAACAAGCATTGTCATGAGATTAGACGTGCTGGACCATTAATGTTTCAGCCGTCTTCAAGGTAGTAGATAATGAACAGACACTAGCTATAGGACTCTCAGAAAATTCGATGTCATACCTAAACTATCGAGGATAAGAAAAATTAGTTGAATATTTGACTCATAAACTAATCGATTTCTCAAAGATCCTTTCACAATTTTACTATACAATTAATTTTTCTTGTCATGAAAAGAAAGACGCAAGTCTTGTATGGCGGCAAGACTGTGTGTTTTCATTTCTTTTCAGATAAAAGTTCTTCACAACATACCCAAACGTTTTACATTTTGAAATATAGACAACGCTGATTGAGCTTAGTATAAAAATAAATTGACATATTCATATCGCTATCTATATAAAACTGATTTTATGTTTTTTGTAGTTCAAGTTTTAGAACACTATACTAGAACTTATTTCGTTTGTATTCTGGAAGGATAAAGCTTATATTATATCGACAGAAGTTAGAATCAATCACAATACAAGCACATTTACAGAAAATATTTTTTATACGACAGTCGGGTGATCTAAAATTATGATTAGCATGAGAGTGAATGTCAGAATCATTAACTCGTTGTTATTTACTCAACATGTTTCTTCAGTGTAACAACAAAAGAAACGATAGAGTCGAGAAAAAGGGTAAATTGGAATCAGAAACGTCGTTTCAAATAACGATCAGAAAAGTTCAATAAGGTGCAGTCTTAAAGTGCCCTATACCTCAATACAATTTTATTATTGGGTATATATATTAGATACTTACAATTGAGTATCACGAATGAATAAAAAATAATAAACGAACAAATAATAATATTATAAGAATAATAAAAAAGGAAACAAAACAATGATGCTATCAAGATTTTGTTTCATTATTAACGGCGATTCGTTGTTCAGGTAATAATTTTTCGAAAAATGGATGTCGAAGTGCTTCATTCAACGTTATTCTAAATAAAATAAAAAAATAAATAAAATATGCATCCAGTTACTCTTATAGGTTTTAAGATTTTTGATTCACTTTCCACTAAGAAGAAGCTTTAGCTTAGCATTTATTTCTTGTTTATATAGCTGCTATTGAATTATCACACAATAATTTTTCTTTCTAATAATTCATACCGTCTTTTTGGATCATATTCGAGCATTTTTTCGATTAATTCAAATAATTGTTGATGATCTTGCTCTTCGCTCATCATATAACGCTGAAAAAATAAAGATGACAACATGAATAAAATAAATCAAAGGAGAGTCTATTTTATTCTTACGCGAATAGGTTTACAATTATCACGAACATAGCGACCGGCAGAACTTCGTTCATCCCAATCTAGTCGTCCATGATAAAAATATTTTGTTTTTCTGAAATAAAAACATATTAGTTATTTATTTTCAATATTCTTTCTCATATGAAAAATAAATTTCATATTTTATTTTATCTTACTTTGATTGTTTAGCCATACGATAGGGAATTGGACCAAGTATTCGTTCCATCATAGCCAGGTGCTCTTTATTATCATGTGTCTATATTAAAAATTTGAAAATATAAAAAAGACAAAGAAAAAATATTGTTTGGTACATACTTGAAATAGAGTAAAGCCGAGATAAAGTTCAAATAAGATACAGCCAACACTCCATACATCACACGGCTGTGACCAACCAAGTTCTAAATGAATACAATTATATAAACAAAGAGAAACAATGATATTATTAGACTTACCTAAAATAACTTCCGGAGCACGATAATGCCTGGTTGATACGATTGTACTATGATGTTCCCAATCAAATGTAGCTGAGCCAAAATCAATTACTTTAATATCTGTTCGACGTACAATACGTTCATCTCGTCTCTGAAATAATACAGTTATTTTATATAGACAATTTATAACAGTCTTTCATATTCACATACTTTTCGATGATTATACACCATACTATAATCAGAATTAACAAATAAAATATTTTCAGGTTTCAAATCTGTATGTGTCAATGCCGTTTCGTGTAAATCTTTAAACAAAAGAAGAAAACAAATATATCATAACATCGTTGAACATAAATTTCAACTTGTACTTGTACGTACTGTACAAGTACAAAATGAGTGTAAACATATAGATATAATAAAAGATGATACTTACATTTAACAGCAAGACACAATTGATATGATATGTGTCTAACTTGATCCAATGGATATGGAATATAATTATTCTCTTTTAAAAAATCGAATACACTAAGACCAAGCATATCAAAGGCAATACACATATGCCCATAATAATCAAATGAATCTAATAACGTCACACATAAACTAGAAAACAGAGATATAATTAAATATTTTAATAAAAAAAAAACCATATTATTATTATTATTCACTTTAAACCATCTGGATCTTTTTCTCTGATTGTTTTTAAAACATTGATTTCAAGACGTGCTGCTTCACGATATTTTTCAACATTTTTAATTATTTTTAATGCTAAACGTGTATTTCCATCACTAAAATAGCAAATAAAAAAATATACATAATAAACAACATACATATGCACATTTCTTAGTCAATACATACTCGCGTAAATCTCGAACTTCAACAACTTTACCAAATGTTCCTTCACCGAGTGTTCGCCGAATTTCATCTTTAAAATAAAAAGAAGGAAAAAAAAAATGATTTTCTCTTAAACTTCTAATATATAATTTTAATGATCATTCATGTACACTTACATCGATGATGCAAAATGTCACCTAAAATGATAAAAAAAATATATTTAATTAGTAAAATAAAATTAAAAGATATTTATGTACTATTATACCTGGTACATAGATTAAATGGCCTTCTTCATCGTCACGAATATTTACATGTCCAGAATCGCTTTTATCACGACGACTCTGAAAATGAGAAAAGATAAAACATATATTTCATGTTTAATATCAAAATATTATCATTAATTTCAAAATAGAATATTTATGTAATATAAAAACCATACATGTAATTAGAATTCAATGTATTGATTTTTTTCTCTACTTTATGGAATATATTTATTAGTTGTGAAGTACAAAAATAAATAATAACTATCGTCATACTTTTTCTTTTCTTTTTTGAAATATGTCAAAATTTGTTATTGTTATTTGAAATCAGAGAGTCTACAATAATTTAAGTACTTGACTTTTTTTCATTAAGTAGAAATGATTTTAATATTAGAAAAAAAAATCCTTTTACAGTACTTTTTTTAAATGCGATTAGTTTCTAGTAAATAGTTGAAATAGATCAGTTATTCAAAAACCCCTATTAATTTATAGAATGAAGTGATGTATAATGTTGAAGTTCCTATTTATAAAATCGATACTTTATAGTCTCTCTCTCTCTCTCTCTCTCTACATATATATATATATAAGTTTGAGCCTCGTGGCTTTCACGTGTTGATGAGTGACAAGTATTTATGAGACCATCAAACATGAATGATGGGTGTATAACAAATGATATTTGTTTTTATTAAGTCTAAAAACTAGAGATTTCAAAAGTAAAAGATTTCATAGTTCCGCAACGAACAAGTTTATTGTTTCTTATTATATTGTATTTATATCCGTATATAAATAAATTTATAGTTGAACGCGTTTTTTCCTTTTCTTTCTTCTATTGTCATTTTATTTCCTTATTCTTCTTTGCATCAGTTGGACTATGAAAATGATGAATATTTTGTGACCGCTGTATGACCAAGCATCATACCTTCAACTAACAATTACTACAAATACTATATATATATCTTTATGGTAAATGTTACAGAAAAAGAAAAAATAGAAAATGTATATTGTATATACACTAACTTATTAAGGTCATCAACAGCATCACCATCATTTCGTGAGGAAGAGAGAGAAAAAAAAGGAAAATAAACACACGCTATATCTGTCCAAAAACTGGACTATTAACACTTGAATAACGTTCTTTTCTTCTTCATTCTCTTGAATAAGATGTCAAGTTCTTCATTCTTTTTATGTAATCACTCTGTTGTATGCACTTTTATATTTTCAACTACATTAATCAACAAATTGTATTTAATAAAAATCACCATCACTGATGTCGATGTGACAGCTGATGACAGCAAGAGAAGAAGAAGAAGAGATAGATAGATTACGTAAAAAAGAAAATGAAAGAACAAGACGCGCTTGATTGAACGTAACAAATTCGTTGTATATCGGTAGTTTGAAGATAAAAATTTATTCTATGTTGTGTCTATTTCAAAATTAGAAGTGAAAGATGATATAGCATGCGTTCACCGTTCAGTTTTATATTCATCAGATGCTGATATATTTATAAAGCTTTTAGAATTAAAAAAAAATGAGTCTACGAAAAAGTTCACAATAGAACAAAAAATTTTATTTTAGCCAACGTTAATTGACCTTATAAAAGTAGAGATTTCTGTATCTGTGTCTATTTTTTTTTCTTTTTCTGTCTGTTGAAGGTCATTTAATTATTTTTTTTCTTTTTTTTTTTGTTTTAATCGATAGAAGAAAACAAAAACACATTTTTAATGTAAATATCTTGTATTCGATGGTGAGAAGATCTTTGCATTGAACATACATATAGATATATAGATATATATGTATACATACACACACAGGCGTGGTGATGTTTTCATGGCCGTATAGCACTTTTATTCATATATACTTTTACGCCTTTTTTTCTCTACTTTTTCTTTTCTCGTTCTAAACCGCAGACTGTATAACTCACAATGACATGAAAACTAAACAATATTTTTCTCTGTTTTTTTTCTCTCTCTTTTTGTCATTGTGTTAAGATTTGTTAAAATATAAAACTGAATTGGTTTAGATCCCTTATATAAATAAATGTATACAGATCTATTGACTGAACAAATTGTCATCGACATCGACATATAAACATGACTAGTAACCTCGAAGCTGAATAGTTTACAAGCCACATAGAACAATAATAATAATAATACTAGTTATTGTTATCAGCCGATTGAATATCAAGGCAAACAGCGAATGTACTAAGATAAAATACATGAACTATATTTAGAAGTTTTTACTTCTAATACATTGTGACTGATCTTTTGAACTCGACAACTGTGTAATAGAATTACAATTATTATTAAAAGAGAAATTTTTTTTTTGCCTGTAGCAAATTTTGGATGAATAAATGAAAAATAGAAATGTACACAGCTGATATTGATTTTTAAAAGAGGAAAAAATAAAAGAAAAAAAGAAAAGGCGTACAACAGATAATGGATAAAATTCAATTAAGATGAAAAAAAGAAAATGTTTGAACAAACCATTCTTTATTGTGAAACTCGAGTATTATTCATTCAAACTTTAGATAGTCAAGATTTATAGTAAAAAAATTTTTACTCTCGTATATTCATTGAAAAAAAAATTTTAGTAAAATGAACGAATGGATCGATTAAAAGTTATTCAAATTATAAATTCGACAATAAATCACCTACATAATTTGTTTTAGATTAAAGTCGAATAGACAACAACACTATTTAGAGGAATAAGAGAAAAGATGAATTGTTAGAAAATCTCTGCCAGTTTATTCTTAAACATTAACTTTATTTATATAAGATATAAAAATTCGATATTTTATTACCTCGACAGTTTTATAGGTATTAGTAACTGTATTTGACACTGGTGGCGTTTTTTGTTGAATTTTAGCATGGTAAGTTCCACTACCATTTGATTTTGTACTGATTGTCGATGTTGTTGTTGTTATAGATGATGTAGATGAATGATGATGTGGATGATAACAATTACGTTGAAAAATACGCGTATTATTATTATTATTATTAGTATTATTATTACTACATGACGTTAAACAATTGTTCGAATGAATATTATTTTGATTAATTCCACCACTATGTACATCTTTTAAAATCACACATAAACCACTATTAAATTGTATTAAACGCATTATTTAATATTATTAAATTATAATTTAAATTAATCGTCATCGTTGTATCACCAAAAAAAAAAAATTGACGCTTTACTGATGATGATGATGATGATTAGAAGATTTTTAGTAGTTTAAATCGAAAGCCATAAAACAGCATGTGTATATATATATAGATCTATACATATATATATATATATGTATATATATGAATGTCGTATATAGGTATTATATCTTTTCGTTTTAATATATAAAATGAAGAATATGTAGAAAAAGAGAAAAAAGAATCACAAAGAAGGATGAAGCAACAGAAAAAGAGATCACACGTGAATACATCTATATATAAAGATGGTTTATTTTAGTTTTAAAAATATATATTCTGTTTCTTGACATTTTAAAATCAAACAACATACAAATAACGTTGGACAAACTACTCGTTCGTGTTTTTTTCGTCGTTTTTTTTTTTCTCAAAAAATGACCAAGGTTGATCATTTATGTTATTTTCTTTCTCTCTCTCTCTCTCTACTTTTCTCTAATCTCTCTAGTTTCTTTCTTTCTCTTATTATTTTCATATTAAAGTTCAACGTGTACAACACGTTCATCGAGTGATATTCATAGAAAAATGTATGTGTAGTGTTGTGTGGTCGACCAAGCCTAATGGAAGAATGAGAGAAAAAAAAATTATTATCCCATATGATGGAAAAAAAACTTAATTTTTCAGAATATGTGATGATGTTGATGGTATTGGAGAAACTAAGCTCCCATATTGTCAATGAATGATTTGGTTTTGTTAAAATGATGAAATTTAGTGTAAAAAAAAACAATAAAAGAGTAATGATAAGGAAAGAGAAGATAAAAGATCATTGTCTGATAGCTAGAACACAAGAAAGAAGAAATCATTACTGTTTCCTTACATTAGCTAAGCTAGTGTTCAAAAAAATCCATGGATGTAAATATTTCCTATTGAAAATGTTGTGCCTGAAGTGGGACAGTCCTTTTGACGAAGAAGTACTCACTAGTTCTTGTTCAAAAAGAACGCGAACTATTGTTGTACAGATATTTTAATTCTTCCAAAAAAGAGAAAAAGAAACGCTTAAAACTAAAAGAAAAAAAATGTTCAAAATTAAGGAAAAATACAAGCAAAACTCTTTTGTAAAGTATTCGTACAGCAGTGGCAATAGTTTTCATTCTTCTAAAAAGAACTGATGATCAGTTCGCAGGAACTATAGGATCTAGTAACCTGAGATGTATAATTATGCAACCGTCTAGTAAATGCTTCTTTAACAATGGAAATAGTTCACAGAATAAAAATTACTGAAGTATTTACGATGAATCGTAAAATAGAAAGTAGATCTCTACTCTTCGTCAGCGCATTTTAGATACGATATTTCCTAATGTGGATTTTAACAGACACTGAAGAAGTGTGAATGATACCTAATTAGTTCGATTCACAAAATATTCATAAACAAAAATATTATGATAAAGTTGTTCAGCCTCATTCTGTTTTCTGGTGATTCAATCACTGCGCATAGAAATATATATGTCCATTGCACTTTTATAGATTAAACTAGGATCGTGGACAGTCAGATAGTTTATTGATCATAGTTTTAACTACAGTTTTGACCGGAACATATGACTTAATTTACAGTGATTGCGTTGTCTCTGTGTATTAATGGAAGATCATCACGTTTCTTGATGAATTTCTTATTTTTCACATTGTTTCATAAGATAATCATATGTATTCAAAATAAAAACGATATGAAAAGAGCACACAAAATCTTCACGATGACGCCGAGACATTTGTGTAATCAACACGTTCAATAATAATGGCTGTACGTGTGCACCACCACAACGGCAAAAATAAATGCTATTCTACTACCCAGAGAAAGATCATTGGCATAAATTTTTTTCTTGTTAAATAGATTAGTTTTAAATTCTGTTTGTTTGACTTGTGACTAGGATGACACACCAAAATGACATTTTTTACTATTATCGTTTCCGAAATAAACCTCTCGCAGATAGCGTATTGGAAAAATAAGCTATTGTACTAGAAGATGAATACTAGCTATAATTCAGTGTTAATTAATAGAATGTTTTTACTCTGGATAAAAAAGAAATTGCATGCCATTAGTCGATTTTCTGTCAAACTTTATCTCAAAAATCATCAATCAAATTTCAGTTATTCAAAATTCAAATGAATCAGAATGTGAAGGATGCTGAAATGTTTACTTTTGAAGATTCCGAGATGTGATATTCATTTGCTATAAAGCCGAAAAAAGTTGTACAATTCTCAAAAAAATATTTTCTTCATGAGATAGTTGTTCAGATTTACACGTGCGAAGTTCATATATCAAGAATTTTTATGATTGATTGCATGAAGTATTCAAACAACTGTTTATTAAAAGTGTTTTGAATGAGTCATCATATTTTTTTCATCTTTTTGAAAGATTTGATACTTTGAAAATTAGATCTGTTAAACACAAAAATTTTGAAATTAATTCGCACTCTTATCACACCATTTGAATATATCTCAATGGTGTTCTGGTTCTCTAATTAGTAGTGCATATTGTTGTTATCGGAGATGAAAATATTCGACAAATTAGCTAATATTTTTTTGAGATTTGTATATCGTGAAATCTAAAACTTGGATTCTGACTCAAAAGACGAAAAGCGAAAGACGATTCTACATATTATTGAACAATAGACCACCGAAAGAAAGAGTAACATTGATAAAACATTCTGCTAGCTGTTTTAATTTATGTTATATTGTGATATATGAGTTGATATGTATCTGTTTTAGCTGAAATTTGTCCTCATCAATAGAATTCATGATGGAGTGAAAAAATTGAACCATAAATTGTTTGAGCATTTCAAATGTAAAAAATCCTCTCTTGAAATTTATTTTTACTTTTTTCTTGATTAAAAACACAACCAAATTCCAACTAATTTTATGTCACCGATAAGACTATTCAATGGCTAACATACAAACCTTTATTGTACATGATCAAGTATAGTGTAGAAGAAAAACAAGATAACTTCGCATATGTTCAGTTTTTATACTGTACATAGTCTTACATGTGCGAACAACATTTTGCACATATTTCATTAAATATCTATCGAATTCGCAGATTACACCTACTATTTCTGTCGAGAAAGAAAACTTTTTATTGAATCACCTTGAACATATAAGTCGTAGATAAACGAAAACCAATGTTTTTACCTAACATGATGCAATTGGCAATGAAAATGATATTTTTCGTGAACAATAGTACTTTCTACGCTATTGAAAAATCTTTCTTGTACAACTCTATTTTCAGTATTAAAAATTTTTTCTCTAAATGATAGGATGATTATGACATTTGGTCGGGTGTTTGATATTTTATAAAGAGTCACTATTATTTAGATATTAAAAAAAACAACAAACGTTTCTCTCTATTCGATCATGTCTCGAGCGCTTATTGATACATCAACTTCCTTTTCAAAGAGATTATTATGTTTAATAATAGCATAATTTATATACTTCTACCTTTTTCCTGTAGACTGAGGCCATAATTTTTGTATATCAGAGTATGATGATAAAACGAACATTTTTCTCAATGAAACATTAAAAATGTCTTACCTTATTAGGTGTTGATACTGAACGTTTTTGATTTTTCTTTCGATGTCTTGTTGTACTTTCAGAACTCTCTCGTCGACGATGTTCAGATGAATCGTGTCGATTGTGACGTTTCCTACGATGGCGTTCAGCAGATGATGAATGACGTCTTGGTGTAGAACTAGATAAATTAAAGAACACAACACAACAAACAAATGCACACACGGCAGACACATGCTAGGAATTCTTATTTTTAAAAGCATTTCTACAATCATTTTCATTTATATTACCACATTTTTTTTATAAGAAAGTTGAAGGAAGCAGCAGTAGATGATATGGTATTTATGGTGAAAAAAATCATCTCTTCAAAATTTGTCTTAAAAATTCTAGTCAATTGAAAAATGTTAAGTTTTTTTCATTAATAACTAAGAATATAGAATACCTTGAACATATACTATTAAAAAAAAATCTTTTCTTGTTTTTCTTACATAACTTTAAATGATAATAACCATAAATTAATTTTCTTATACATTTTACGATAAAACATGTACACATATTTTGTTTGTAAAAATTAGTACATATAAAATTTTACGTCTCCGGTGATCTTTTTTCATTCTTCTTCTTTCCATTACAAGGTTCATTAGGCAATTTTCTATGAAAACTAAATATTTTGATTCATTAGTATATGCAACTAAATTGAGAAAATTTGTCCTCGTAAACAATATGACCATGCAAATATCAATACTTTTATGAAGAAAAAAAAATGTGAATGGTTCACTTTTACCTTGCGATCACGTCCAAAATTTAAATATAAATTCTATTACACTAGTTCTATCCTCATAGTTAAATATTTGAATAAGAATTAAAAAAAAAAGCATTTTTTCGAATTATAATACAATTTAAATATAATCTAATTTTTTGATTAGACTAGCACAAGCCAAGCAATAGTGATTTTCATATCAATCTAATTAACACAACAAAATCATTCGAATAACAAAACACTTTATATATATATATATATACCCCTCATCAATGGCAGGAAGAACTTGGTTTTGTTCTTGTTGTTTAGTATCAATATTAACATCAACTGTACTCAATGGTTTAGTCAATTCAATTAATGAATTACTGTGAAATTGAGACGTTTTTGTTTTATTATTGTTATTTTTATTATTATTATTGTTATTGTTGTTGTTGACTAGATTTGTCAATGAAGACGATAATATCGTATTATTAATAACCGGGCTAGGATAATAATTATCTAAGTTACTGTCATTGGTCGTGTCCGTAACATTTACATTATTATCAATCGTACCATTTGCATTTGTATAATCATTGTGTTCGGGTGATAATTGGGCATTTGGAGTTGAAAATATATTATTTGATGATTGTTGATAATTAACATTTGTATCGTCGACAATTGGCGAAATTGCGGGTAAACGAGGAAGAGGTGATGAATGAAGTACTGGTAAAACCGGAATGGGTGGTGGTGGTGGTGAAGTAGAAGATGTATTTTTATTTTTTATAAGTGCCGCTGTAACAGGGGTGATTACTGGTGGAACTTCATTTTCACCATCTTCAATTGTCATATTTTCAAAATTTTGTACAATTGGTTCAGTTTGATGAAATCCTTTTGCTAACAAATATTTTTTAATACGACGTTTTGATGAACCAGGTGTCTGATAACTAGGATATGATGTTACAGATGTATAAGTTAGATTTTTATCAGATGTTGGTACAACTTTATTTACATAACCATGATCATCAAATGCCCGATAAGGATTTGATGTGCTAACACCAGAGGAACTATGTATTGGTGTATCATTTGTTAATATTGAATTTTGTATACGTGTTGAATCATAATCGAATGGTGGACGAGGATGTTCTTTAGATTTTGCACGTAAATAATCATAATTATATGTTGGTGTAACACCGGCGTTTAATGGAATTTGTTCTGAAACCGTACTATGAGGAGTTATTGTTGAATTTGTCGTCGATGTATTTGTAGTATAACGATCATCATTATTATTACTGTTCATTGGATTATGTCTTTGACTTAAACTATTTGTTGTACCAACACCATAATGAGGTCGTGTTATAGAATGTGGCTGATAGTGTGATGATTGATGGTGAGTATGATAAGATGGAGAAGGTGGTTGATACGATGATGTCAATGAAGCATTTGAATCTTTACGATTCCAATGACCATCAACATCTTTATTTCGTGTTGATGGATTATGATAGTGATGATCATAATCATTATCCAAAGCATTTGAAGTTTGATTTTGATTAAAACTATCTACACGTTTAAATGAACCAGATTTTTTAGATAAATTTGTTGTACTACGATTTTTTGAATCTGTTCGACCAATCATTGTATCTTTAACGCGTGTATTGAATACAAGATCTTTTAATTGATCAATACGTGCTTTACGTTCACTTGGATTTTGAAATTTTTCTTCTATTGGTGATTGAACACTACGTTGTGATGCTGTAATATTTGTTGTTAATGCACCACCACTATATTTTTTCTTATTCGACGATGATAAAATACTTTTTGTTGGTGCAACAGATGTATCATTCGAACTTATCGTTGAATTTTGATCATAATTATAATGTGGAATAGACGGTTTTGTTGGATAATGACGATGATAATTATGATCATCGTAATTTGTTTGTTTTGCTGATGAAAAATTATTATTATTTGACGAATTATTTGCGTTATTTGTGCTATTAATTGATGAACGTCTCTCACTTGGTGCACGATCTTCATTATAAAAACTTACTAAACTTTGAGCTTGATGAAATGTTGATGCAAATTTTTTTTTTAATTGTCGTGGTTTAGTTATATGACACCAAATTGGTGCAATATTTGCATATTTACGCGCTAATTGACTAGGCGAAGAATATGTCCATGTTGGCGGTGCAACAGTTGGTAACGTTGTTGGTTGTGCTGATGAAGGATAATATTGAGAATTTCCACTTCCTCCTCCGGTACCACTACCACTTGATGACATATTTGAATTAACTGGACGTAAACGATAATTACTTGTGCTTGACATTTTAATAATGTTCAACCGTTTTCAAATAAAATCATGCTCTTATTTAAGCCCACAACATCAATAACAGTTATAATTTAACATATGATATGATTTCCATTACGTTGTTTTACCCTCTTCTTCTATAGAGATATTTGATGATATTCTCATTTATATGTATTAGACTCTGCTTGTGCGTGCGTGTGTATGTATGTAGGAGTGTATATATTTTTCTCGTTTTTCGTCTTATTATTATTATTGTTAGATAAGGATGAGAAAGACACAAATATGTACACATATCTATATGGATAAACTAAGAAAACTCTTTCTATGATTTTCAGGAATCTTTTCTTTCTTCTTTTTTTTCTCTCTTTTCCATCCTGATATTATCGTCGTCAATACTGTTGCTGCTGTTTATTGCTGCATATACATACATATTGTTGAAGTAATTAAGTCAAACATCTCTATGAATATCACGGACACTGTACAAATCGTCTTTTTTCGTTATTTGATGGTGGTACTTATTCTCATGAGATTGTTTTCTTCTCGCTCTTTTTCACACTATAAATAAGCATTTTTTTTTCCTCATTTTATTCTGTCTATTGCACACATAGTAAGACAGCATATAACAACAGAATTTTCTTCTTCTGTTTATTATGTTTTAGTTGTTGTTATTGTACATAGAAAAAAATTAACGTTTTTTTTTGTTTTTTTTCTCACTGTATTACTCATAATTAATGTGTGTTCAGGGAGAATTTTTTGTCGTCATCACTGTCATATTATACATCTCACATGTATAACTATCAACATAAATATTTTTTGGTAAGAGAAACAACAGCGGATGATACTATGTATCATATCAAAATCAATAATTATAATCTTAAAATAGATTCTTATATTTTATGACGATGTTAACAAGTGTGTCCGTGCCTATCATTCTGAAAACATTTTTTTCAATAACAATAGCCAGTAGGAAAAAAATTATACTAATAAGTTTGATATGATATCAAATATTGGTTATCAATATAAGAATAATTCAGCAAATATAAGTTAGTTTTTACATTTATTTCTAAACTAAGATATTTCAAAATTGAAAAATAGCGAACTTCTGACAGTGTTGAATGACATAAAAAATAACAGTTGTTTTTTCTCTAGACATTTACTTTTCAGATCAAGTTTTTCTCTCTACATACAGTTGTCTGTTTTGTTCGCTACGTGCTCATGTCACATAACACATACGACACAAAAAAATATTATTGTTATCTTGCTGTGACGTTTTTCTCGATTACACTATATTTTCTACGTATTTATCACATATGCATATACACAAGAAAAAAAAATCATCGCCTTTTGTTTTCACAATCTACGTCTCTTCTTTTAAAAAATAAAACAAAATAAGAATAAGAATAGTCCAAAAAATAAATGATTTTATGAAGCTCATTAAATCTTAATGTAAAAAAATATCAAATTAAATCAAATTTCTAGCATTTTGATTGATCAAAAATAAACAAAAGAATAATTCATACAGTTCTAAATCAATAACATATGCCTATCAAAATAAACATCAAATTGTCGAAAATCACGATCCCTTTAGATAAATAAATAATCCTGCTTTAAAAAGGTAGTTTATGATTTACTTTGCAGAGTGAGGATTTTGATGTGAGTAAAATGATTATAGGAGGATAAACACACTCAAAGTTGAGTATTTTTATAAAATATGAGAACGCCCACTAACAGTCTGATATAGACAATAAAAATCTAATCGCTAATATTCACTAACAGTCATTAACACGTTCGTATAGTTGCCTAAGAAAGAGTGAAAAAATATAGGTAAGTTGAATAAGACTTTAGAGGTATAACATTTACGGACTCTCCAATTAACGAAAAAAATCATTTGCTTTCGATGATTACCTGACGAGTTAGCTTCAATTGGTGAAACAATAAGCAGGTATATGGGCCCATTTGAGAACTGAATGAAAAAGGTATCATTGTCAGTTAGCCTAGGCCAATTTGGAATATTTCTCAAATATAAGTGTTCGAAGTTTAATTACTGTTAACTTAACAAGCATTAATCGAAAACAAATGATTTTTTCGTTGATTAGAGAGCACGTAAAAGTTTGTACATATAGAGTGTGATTTGGCTGACCTGTCTGAAATTTCTTTGAACTTATATTTGAAGAGTTTTATTCTTTCTTAGGTATATCTGTAAAAAAGACACGAACTGTTCTTAACGTTCAAAGGTGAATTAGGTTTATATTTACTGAACTATAAAGTGAGAGAGGTGCTGATCAGCGTAACCACCTTTTTAGCTTTTTTCTACTAGCAAAATCTACTAAAACATAGACTCTTTTTCAAAAAAAAGATTATTAACTTGAAAAATTTACATCCTAGGGTAAAAAGTTAGTTGTCTTATGTCCATCTTTAGATTGTGTGCTACTGTCAATATTAACTAGACATAGTTAAAAATATTGAAAGTCTAGTTGTTCGAATATTCGACACTCAACAGGTGTAACTTTAGAAATGGGTAGAAGCGAATATAAACGGGGTTATTTAATATCGGACTGTTCAGAGTTGTGGATGTATTTTACACGAATATCCTTTAACGATACCTTTCTAGAAGAAACTAACTTGTCTAATAGAATTTTATCTATCTGTAGATACTAATCAAAAGATCAAAAAATTCACTCTTCAAAATGGCTCTTACTACTTTTTTTACCATCAATTTCAGAGTTTGACTAGGTTTTTCTATTGCGAAACAACTATTTAAACTGTAGCAAAAAAGTAGTTAGAAGTTTTATAAATTGTTTATAAAATCCTGCTTAAAACATAATAATTTTTCTATATCTTACATTAAAAGCCACAATTGTCCAGTTGAAAGCAGCGACTTAATTGTTTGTGCATAACCTTGATTATAAATATCACTACCACGGTAAATAGCAAAATCATTTGATACTTGTCTTTGTAATAAATTATTATCATTTTTTTTGTCATTATTGAACAACGATAAATTTTGTTTTTTAACCATGGTTAAAATCGATTTTCGATATTTTCTTTACTTTTGGTTACGCTTTTTTATTTTCATCTATCTAGCTAGACGCAGTGATATACGATACATCAAGAACGACACTATGATCAATATTTATGAGGATATATATCTACAGGTATTATTTTTTTATCTCAAAAAAAAACAACACACCTACATTTTCCGTCTCTTTCCTATATTCGTGGTTTATGGTAAAAAAAATTTTATCTAACCACTAAGTGATCGATAAGTCAAAAATTGATGTTATACGACATGCCGTTGTTTGCAAATATGAAACAATCATTGTATACCAATCAAATTACCTCTGTATATCCACACTAAATAATTTAGAAAAAACAACACGTGTTTTGCAACAAATACTGAGTCTAGGTCAATCAATCTACTGCTGCTGCTGTTTCTGAAGTAAAATAGAAAAAAAAAACTTTTAATCACTTACTTTCGATGTCTTGAACGCGTTCGTGATCTTGATTTTCGACGATGTCGCCGTTCACGTTCATGATGAGAACGATGTGATGTTGGTTTTTGATGATATTGACGATTACTACATGAGCTTACGTTCACGTTGTAGTCAGCACCACGTGAACAAGACGATTTACTTGTTTTTGATGAACCTCGTGATGATTCAGATTGATCATAAGAGTCAGATGAACGAGAACGATTGTTCATATGACGATTTGATGATCTAGAGCGATCACGCTCTTCACCACCACACGGTCTTGTACGTGATGAAGCATCATTCGACGTTGAAGAATTTGAATAACACGGTTTATAACGTGTCATTATGATGCAAAAAAAATTTTTGTTTTATATCAACAAACACTTGAACGTACGATCTTCAATATACATATACATGTAATTATAAATAAAAACATATAATCGATGGATGAAAAAAGCTGAAAAACGTGACAAATTATATTATCATTTTGTCAAACGAGAAATATTCTATTAATTTTACACAAATAAATTTTAAAACAGATACAATTTATCATATTTTCATAATTTAATAAAGTGTAGACGAGAATCAAGCATATTGTATCCTTACATGAGAACAAAAACTGCTCATCTAAAGACTCTTGGAACCATCTAAACATTAGCAAAGTCAAAAAATTTTATCTATAGTCAAATTAAAATAAAAATCCCCAGCGACGAATTAGTTGCAAAGTAAAGAAAAGAAGAATAAGAACTAGAAGAACATTGAAGTAAAAAACGATAGACAATAAGATACTTTATTGTGTAAATAAACTTGCTATAAACAATTATAATAGCGAGATCAATGTGTTCTTCTGCAATTGATTTGTCTACCATGTCCATTTGTTGTTGTATTGACTATGATCATGTGATGGTTCTGGAAAAAGTTCAACTCCCATAAAGACCGATTTGAATGAATAAAAATCAAAGTAATAAAGGAAAGAGGAGAAAAGAGATGCAAATATTATGATTCTACGGCATTTGTGTGTTGAACTCGTGTATAGAGGCTTGTTTTTCTCACCTGTACATGGTTAAGACATCAATGATTATGTCCAATATCAACATGTTTTGCTCGTATTCATTTCATATCATAATTATTCTTGGATTTAAAGATAAAAATTATAAGTGAAAAAAACGTCAGAATAAGTAAGTATTTACAAACAAAATAAAAACTATTCATTTACATTTTCACTTTCGTCATTTATCTATCATTGTCCAACAGATTGTTTGAGGGGAAACAATTATTTTATTAAAGCTTGAAAAAATTTAACAGTTATCAGTGTTGATTAATTTCATGTCTTTTTGGCTTCTCAGGACCAAGTAATAAGAAGAAAAAAATAACAAAAACAACGAATACCATGGTAAGAGATTCGGTCACAAACAAGTGTGCAGGCAGAGAAAAACAATAAAAAGTTCAAACAATCAAAAAAACAAAAAAATAAAATTCTATTTTTGATCACAAGCCAATGTCTTTAAATACAAACGTACAGATATACTTTTTAAATAACTATCAAAGAACATAGACATGTAGAATACACAATAGTATTTTCTAAAAATAAAGCTAAATATGGGGCGATGTATAAATAAAAAATTATTGATTTCCCAGTATATGACCTCTTCCAGTAAAAAGATTTCGTGGACGATTATTATTTTCTTCTTCTCCTCCTGGTTGACGTCTTGGTATTGGTGCTGTACCAAATCCACCTATGCCAGTGGCCTGATTCGGAAAATAGCGATATCTAAAAAAAGATAAATAAAAGAAAAAACAATTCTTTCATTCAAAACTGAACAATAATATTTAGTTTTCCTTCTACAATCAGTGAGAATAGCACTTAAACCTATGAGATACAGTCGATCTGTCGATTCTGTTACACTTACAGAAATCCTGGTGTACTCAATAATCTTGCTCCACCAAAATCTTGTGGATATTTGAATACAAGAAAAAAATATAAATGACCAACAACAATACCAATAAATTGCGTTATAAATCTGAATGAATAAAACAAAGTGTCATTAGATTTTTTCTTTACGAATTTTTCTGAGCATTCACATCTTTGATTTCAACATGATTTCTCAATTGATCTCCTTAATTTTACAAGACTACTGATAGACCGTTATTAATTAACTTACGTTCCCGAAATTATCCAGTTGAATAAAAGAATCACCCATGGCATATACATAGCTTTAAATTGCATACCAAACCAAAAAGACATGATTGTTTCTTTGTTTAACTGACACCATATATACATAACACTTAAGATCATTCCATCCATCAATATCTAAAACAAAATAACAATTATTAATAAAATATTAAAAGATAAATGAAAAAACGCACAGGTATTGTCAAAATTAGACCAACAATAACATGACAAAGCCACAGAAACGATAAACAAAATATATAATCAGCGGGTTTTCCATTAAATGCACCTAAAAATTCAAAGCATAAAGATTCAAATAGTATTTCAGCACATACTTTTATGACTCAGTCTGTACGTACTTGTTTCGAGACGTGTTGAATATTGGTAGATAAAAAATAAATTAATTAAATAATTAAAACCCATTGGAAAATATAGCACAGCAGTTAACAGACGCCATAACTAAATAAACAAATGTAAAAGAGTTTAAAAGATTAACTAAGTTTAACATTTTATTCTTACCTGAAAATGTTTAACTAATGGATCTAAAAACAAGACTAAATTTTGCGGTCGAATAAGACCTAATCGAGCCGCAACAGGTACAATCACCGAGCCAGTAAACCAAGTTCTACAATAAACAAAAATATGGTGAGCATGTCGCATATAAAAAGTTTCTTAGATTTGATTCCTACCTTGTAATTGGTGGTATACTGTTATACCATTGTCCTAATTCATTTGATGATGCCATTTTGCATTTGTTAATCAATATTCAAGATAATTGTGTAAAATAGATTGAAACAAGTGATATCAGTAGTAAAATAACCAAAAAAGGTTTCCAGTTGATTTAAACAAATCTTAAATGTTATTAATATGAGAATATCATCTTTTTATCTTCTTTTTGCATCCCACAAACGGAACGCTATCTATGATACAAGGATAACTTCAGCACTACTTTTCAAGAAGAGTTTTATCGTTTATCGTGGCAGAACGTTCACGTATTACTTTTCATCTCTTTCGTTTCCATTATTCGACTAAGACCATTCATCTCATAGGTTGAGGACCTTTGGTAATCTATCCCTTTTTGTAAATAAAAGACATCATCATCACAAGAAGAGAGTTTATTCGCGAGAAGTGAGCAATCATTAAAGATTACTGACCTGAAACGCGATGGACTCCGCCACATAAACAATCAGATAAAACAAGATATGAACTTAACAACGAAATAAGACGACAGATAAAGAAACAAACTAAAAACATCAGAACACAGCTAACCTTTAGCATTTAGGAAAGAGTTTTGTAAGAGATAATAAAGACGAACAAATGCACTATTCTAGAAGATTCCTGACTTCCAGTGGATAACACCCGACAAAAAAAAAGAACTGTCAGATATTTGATTTATCAATTATTTTATCATACGTATATAAAGACTACGATTTCTACTGGACTGACTGCGTAGAAACTAGGATCGTTACAACAGTCTCTTTCTTATCAAACCAGATAAACCCAGCTACACTTTGCTAAATTAACGTGTATTAAACATCCATCGGATTAAATTATTGATCGCTATATAAATGAGTAATTTTTTGCTTGTTTCTCATGGTCTAACGGCCAAGAAAAGTGCTTCCTTTCGTGATTCTTAGACGTTTTTTTGGGGCAGTTTTATTTTGCCTTAAATACATTGCAAAAGAATTCTAATCAATAATTATTCATTTAAAATAAAATTGAGCTTGTAATGGCCTAAATGCACTTGGACTACACTTAGACTACATTAGTGATTTGAATAAATATAAGTTTAAAGCACTAATGTAGTCTAAGTGTAGTCCAAGTGCATTTAGGCCATTACAAGCTCTGTTTTATTTTAAATGAATAATTATTGATTAGAATTCTTTTGCAATGTATTTAAGGCAAAATAAAACTGCCCCAAAAATTCGAAGGAATCCGTAGCAACGACATTGCATGGCCGTTAGATCATTACTAGCCATCAGATTTTTCGGACTTACGTGGTTATCTGCCCATGTTTGTTGGGAAAATCAGTGAATTGAGCATTTAAACTGATGGTAAGAGCCAGCGTAGGTTAAACCTGTTTAACTTACACTTTCTTAAAGCTTCTTCCTTCTACACAGACTATAGTGTCTGCTTATTAAACGCTTGTACTGTAGAGAGAAACCTTGATTTTGAGTTGAATGTCTCTACGTTTTCCAACATTTCTCAGCTTTACTGACTTAGTGGTTATCCTACCCAAGCAAAAACGACCCAATTTTTTGGGTTATTTATCTAGATTCAGCTCCACTTACATTTGGGTACCCGGAATTTTCTGGAAATTGGAAACAAAGATAATTTTTACGGTATTTACTCACTTCTACACGCTAGCCGTTAATTTCTCGCTTTAGAGATGACTGCTGTCGAATTTAAAACACTGAAAACAACACGCTGATTCGTCAGATATATTGCTACCGATTTGCCACAAACTTTGAGAAATTGAAAGCTTTAAGGTGTAATCGCCTGTTCGATTTACGTATGTTGCTGTCACCATTTAACGACCAACGAAAAGAGCCCATCGCTTCTCACGCAAACATTTAAGTAAGAATGCAGACAGATATTGAATTTGTTGAGAATTTCTTGAACAATCATATTAGCTTTCCCAATTCTGCTTTTATTAATGAAAATGACATATTTGTGTAGATGGCGTTTTCACCGGTACTGGTGCACACCAGGATATTCATAATGTATCGTATGTCTGAAAAAGCAGTCATACTGTTTCCCAAAATCTTGATAGATACGTGTTATTCACATAAATTTTCTTTATGGAAGAGTAAAAAAAAACATAGAAATAAATGACAGGTAGAAAAATATAATTTATTTTTGATATTGAGGTATGGTCTGGATTTCTGATTGGCGAATCAAGTCAGCTCCAGGTAATTGAGTCGACTATCTAAATACTCAAACGATATCCGTCACAAAGCTAGGGAATAATAGGGAAATGTTTTCTTGCAATCATGTTTTTTTGATTGAGTTCAGACCTGTACTATAACACTAGACAATAGGGCTACTAAGTACTAAGCAGTGTACAGGATGTAGATGGAAATATCTTAGAGCTTACTTTTGGACAACTTAGTCCATAAATTCTTTGCATTTGAATTCAAAGTTTAAGTGTTTGATTCCATCGACTGCTTTAGGCTTTGTTTCTTTCTGTTCTGTCCTTATCTCTCTCATTCAGTTCTTAACATTTTTATCGTCAGGTTTTGGTGGTACAGCTTTTCTCTCATCCGATGATGTCACATTATTGCCAGTTCAAGCAGTAGATTTCGTGTACCGCAGAATTGGCGATTTTCCTTCATTTTAGTGTCACGTGGTTTTCATGATGAGTTTTGTAAATAAGTTTATAGTTTTAACGGGCTGTCACCCTTTGAGGATAGAAATTTTATTTTTATAATAACCAAATCAGTAGTTTACTATTTTCTTGCGGTTTTTACCATATTGACCGCAAAAATGGAAAGCACGTGTCACAATAATGATAGAGAAATTCAAGCTTGATGATCCGCAAAATCTACTGCTTGAACCAGTCATAATTTGACGTTATCACATGAGAGAAAAACTGTACCAGCAAAAGTTAATGATAGAGGCGTTAAGAGTAACGTTTTCCTCTGATATTATGGCAACAGTGTGATAGTGTAAGTAAACAATATTTTCACTGTATTTTTGTTGTGGATTTCGTATGGTTTTTTTGACGGTGCGATGTATACGAATGCTTCTTAATGTTTGTTGACTGTAGTGCTATGTAAAGCTTATAAAAATATCAGAGTGCATGGTGTTAACTACAAAATTTAGCCATACATTTCGTTTTTAACAGAACTTTTGCATATTTGGATGGAAATAATCTAGACTAACTCTGTAAACTCTGTTTTTCACTGGTCTTCTTTCAATCTCATGTCTTTAAACGTTTCTAAATGTTGTTGGCTTCCTTTCTCATTCAACCTCTTTCCGTACGTTTATAATCAATTTTATCTCAATGGTGCTCTTTCTGTTGTGTCTTCTGTTCGTCGTCTTGGTGTTCTTGTTTCGCACGATCTTAGGTGGAATGATCATGCCAAGGACATTGCTCTTGCTTGTCGGCGCAAGCCTGGAGCATTGAATCGTGTCTTTGGATTAGCTCCAACTGAAGTTCGGCG